AGTTTGTTATGTCTACTAGGTAGCTAGAGTCTGATCCTCAGAGCCAATGGTTTGGACGGTCAACAACGCTTGGGCCCACAGGGGCTTGGCCTCCTGACCGGGTCTGTGCTGTCTGCATCTGAGTCCTCCTTTTTTATTGATTGTTTAAGGGACGCTGCCTGTCTTAGGTGGTCAGTGTCACCCTCATTCTTAAAAGTGAATACAGAATTTCCAGATACAAGATTTTTGGTTGATAGTTTCTGTTGTTGTTTTTTTTTAAGCACTTTAAATATTTAAATATATTATCCTACTGTATCTGGCTTCCAAGTTCCAAGATTCCTGGGTAGAAATTGACACTTAATCTTATTGAAGATCCCTTGTATTTGGCATTTTGCTTTTTTTGGCTGCTTCCAGGATTTGCTCTTTATCTTAGGTTTTTGAGAGCTTGTTTACAAAGTGTCTTGTGGTGGTTTTCTTTAGTTTATCATACTTGGAGCTTTTTGGGCTTCTTGGATGTTTAGATTTATGTTCTGTCTCAAATCTGAGAAGTTGTCTGCCATTATTTTTTCAAATATTCTTTCTGACCCTTTGTTTCCTTTTTCTTTCTACAATTCTCTAATGTGGATGTTGGTTTGCTTGAAGGTATACCACAATTCCTTTAGGTTCTGTTAATCTTTTTTTGTTCTGTTTTCTTTTTGCTCCTCTGATCATTTATTTTTTTTAATCCTCTAATGCTCTAAGTTTTGTGTTCTGCCAGCTCAAATCTGTATCTCTTCAGTGAATTTTTCATTTCCGTTATTTTGTTTTCAACTTTTGTAATTCTGTTTGAATCCTTTTAATGGTGTTTATCTCTTTAGTGATATTGAAACTTTGGGAATATTCAATACTATTGTTTAAAGTCTTCTAGTCTTTTTATTATCTGGGCTTCTTTCTATAGGGATGATTACTGCCATTTCATTTTATTCTTTTGAATAGACCATCTTTTTGTTTATTTATATGTCTTTATTTTTTGTTGAAACAGAAACATTTGAAAATAATGTGTTATCTCTGAAACTCAGACTCTTCCTATTCCCAGGGTTAAGAATTTTATTTTTTATGTTGTTGAATGCTGTAGTCATTTATTTTCTTAATGACCTCCCTAGTTTTATAATTAGTGCCCTTCTACGTGGACACCAAAGACTCTAATTTCTAACATGAAGCTATTGCTTCAAACAAGATGTCCTTGTATTCCAGGGGATAGGATCAGGTAGAACAAGGAACAGAAACACTTAGCTAGCCTTTGCAACTTGACTCTGTACTCTGGCTTACCTTCAATAAAGAGCCTTTCTTGCAGTATTTATAGGGACCAGACCAAGATGACAGCATACCAGGGGGCTTAAAGCATCTCATATAAAAATTCCATGATCTCTTATTTCATTTTACCATGAACTTTTGAAGTCCACTCATAGAATCTTAGGTTACCTGCTGTACATATTTTATGAAGATCATGTATATGGCTTTTCTTTTGCCCCTGTATACTTTGTGATTTTGAAAGTTCTAATTTCTGAAAGAAACTGTCACTTTGACTTCTCCTTCAGCCACTAGGTGTTAATTTTATACTTATATCACACTATTTGGGGAGTGTGGTGACTCTGTAAGACAAGCACTGGACTGCCAACCACAAGGTTAGCAGTTTGAGCCCACCAGGAGGAAGATGAGGCTTTCTGTTCCCACAAAGATTTACAGCCTTGGTAACCCTATACAGGGTCGCTGTAAGTAGAAACTGACTCAACAGCACCTAACCACAACATCGCACTATTTAGTTCAGTGTTTGTGGGTGGTCATGTGCTCCAAGGCAGCACAAACAGATGGGGTGCCCTGCTTCCTTCAGGCTGTCCCAGGTAGATCAGAACAGATATCCACCATAGTCCTCTGGCAAAGTCTGTTCTGATCACTACAGAACCAGCAATCAGACATATTCTCTGAGACCATAGTCCACAGTCCTGCTACCACTGCCACTGTGCCAGACTGGGGGTTGGGGAGGGCGGCAGGACCCCCTTTTATTTGTTTATTAATTTTTGTTTAGCATTTGCTTAGTTGCTGTGATCCTCTGATTGCCATTCAGAATTCTTACAGAGTTAAGTCTACCATTTTCTGCTTTTTTCCCTTGGTGATCGTGTGGGCAAATGGGAACAGAGAACTCTGCTCATGCTCCCATCTTCCAGGAAGTTTCTCAAAGTAGCAACTTAGAATCATTTCTTTCATGTTCCTCCATGTAAATTGAGAGGATAAGAGCAAAAGCAATTGGGATATCCAATCAATATAGAACTTTCATTAAATGACTATTTATTGAATCCTCAGAATATCAAATAAAGATGTTGATAATTTAGCTACTTTCTCCAAGATCTTTTTCCAGGTATGTCTTTATGCAATTAATATACAATCTTTTTAGTTGCCAAAAAGCGCAAGAAGAGAATTAAGTAGTAGTGCTGTAGGATCAGCACTTGTCTGCAAACCACATGGTCAGCAGTTCAAACCTACCAGCTGCTTCTTGGAAACCCTATACAGGGTCACTGTAAGTCGAAACTGACTTGACGGAGCAACACAACAACAGGAACACTGAAATCTTGGTGTGGCAACATAGGATAAGCACTTGACCTCAAGGTCGGTTTGAACTACAAGGTCAGCAGTTCAAAAATTAATTTGAAGTTCTATAATTTATTCATATTTTCAGCAAATATTCTTTGAATGAGTGCTTCATTCCTAGCATTGTTCTAGAAAGATTATTTATTTGAAGTAGGATTTTTTTTGCTACTAAGATTAAGCTTGTTTTGCTGAAACATTCATTGTACTTAAGACTTCATTGACAGCATGTTTTAATAGGGAAAAAAGTGATCTGAAAATGCTTTGTTTCCAAGGAGAAAGAACGGTGTCTAGTAGACTGAAGAATTTAAGAAAACAACTCTGATTGCTTCACTTGCTAAGAATAACTAAATACTGGATTATTTTTTAGCCTCGCACCAGTTCATTTTTCAAACCATTCTCTCCAAATTCACCAAATAATAACCTAAAAAGCAAATCTATCCTGTGTCAAGATTCATAAGGCCTGATCCTAAATATTTCTTTTTTATAATATTTTAACAGAATCCCACTTAAATCTTCCAGGAGTACCTCCTACTGTTGAGCATTTTAAAACATGATACCACTATCTGGCTGACACTATCTGTATAACCTTGTTATTGCACCAACTTCCTAGTAAAGCAAAAACATTTTTATAGTATACTTAAAGCCCATTTTCTCCTTTGCTTTCTTCAATTAAGCTGTATGTTGTTACGTGCCTTCGAGTCAGTGCTGACCCATAGTGACCCTGTATAGGGTTTCTGAGGAGCAGCTGGTGAGCTTGAACCCAACCTTGCAGATCAAACTGACTTTGCATTCTAACACATTAACCCACAGTGCCACACCAGGACTTTGTAGTATACTTGAAGCCCATTTTCTCCGTTGCTTTCCTCAATTAAGCAGTATGGAGACTCTGAGAAGATGTTTGTGTGACTCACAGATGAACTATCAAAGCCTCTCTTCCTCCACTATCTTATCTCCATTTACAACTCATATAAAGCTAGGCTTTTTCATGATCCAATGTCAGCACAGCATCATTCTCAAAGAAAATGTAGCAAGAATAAAATCTATTGAAAGCAATTATTTACCCTGGCCTTTAAATCTTTCAATAACACAACAAAGGATAATACATTCTTAATTAACACATCCACCCCCGTGCAAAAAACAAGAATCCTCCTCATTGTCACTTTCAGTATCTGTGCTCTATGTGACAACAGTTTGGCTTTTCAAATACATCAATCTCTCTCTCTTCCCCAAATCCTCTCCTCCTCACCCTCTTCAGGTCTCTTTTCTTTTACCTCCTGTTACTTTCTGCCATTTAAATATAAGTTCTGTTTTGCTTCCTAAAAGTTACCCTAATGTACATAGTGAGGTGGTAATGTTAGAAAGGTGGATAGGTCAAGGAGACAACACTCAAATTTAAGAGATAAGGGCAGGAAAGAAGGCATATTTGGTCCCTAATACGCTCTGGTAGCGTAGTGGCTACGAATCAGGCTGCAAACCTTAAGGTCAGCGGTTCGAAACTACCAGCTGCTCTGCGGGAGAAAGATAAGGCTTTCTACTCCCGTAAAGATTTACACCCTCGGAAACCCTGTACAGGGTCGCTATGGGTCGGAACCGACTTGACGGCACTTAACAGCAACAACAACAATGCGTTATTCCATCACTGTTTAAACATAATCTTGATTTTAAGAAGTCTCCTAAATCTAGAGTTTATTGTTTGTTTTTTTAAAGTTTTCTCCTCCTAAGTAATTCCAGTTTATTTAAATTTTCATCACAAGATTTCCAAAGTGTCAAATGAATCCGTTTAGTTCATGTTATAATCTCTTCTTTGTTGTTGTTGTTAAGTGCCATCAAGTCGGTTCCGACCCATAGCGACCCTGTACAGGGTTTCCGAGGCTATAAATCTTTATGGGAGCAGAAAGTCTCATCTTTCTCCCGTGGAGTGGCTGGTAGTTTCGAACTGCTGACCTTGCGGTTCGCAGCCCAATTTGTAACCACTAGGGTCCAAACCTAAGTCTCTCAAATTACATGTCACTCATTTATATAAGAAATTTCATTGAGCTGACAAAACTACCATCCAGTGATTTTGGTTATCAAAATTTCTTCATGCCTTTCAGGTATTTAACTTTGATGTACGCCCATTAGACTGGATGGAATACATTGAAAATTATGTTTTGGGAATTAAAATGTACTTATTGAAAGAGGATATGGCTGGGATTCCAGAAGCAAGGCAACACTTTAAAAAGTAAGTACAGTCAGTTAAAATTTATTGAGCATATACTATGTACTTGATTTTATCCAAGATTTGAAACTCGGGTAGCAAAGGAAAGGAATTTGAATGTTTTAAGTGTTATATTATATTGCAGATCTGTGCTCAAGAGTATATATTATCATTATATGCTGTTTTATTTAGTCTTGGTCCCATCCCTAGGAGGCAGATATTATTTCTCATTACCTCATTTTTATAAAAAATACATTTAGGTTCAAACGAGGTAAGTAACTTCTTCATGGTAATACATGGGAAGTACAAGAGCCAGGATTTGAACGTAAGTTTTCGGTTTCTTCTACCACACCGTATCATAATTTCATATAGAAAAAGAACACCCAGCTACTGACAGAAGACCTAATTCTGGGATTTAAGCAGAACAAACCATATAATCATTCAAGTCCTTCAGTTTCTTCCAGTCAATAATTTCTGAGGGAAAAAGAATTATACCAGTGTGAATATATTTCTGGCAGAAGCAAAGAGTTTCTATTGCAGGGAAGATAAGGATGAAAATTTAGATTGCAAACTGATAGGGTGGAACTTCAATAACAGGCTGCTGACTCCGGAATTTGCCTTCTAGTGAACAAGAAAATTTATGATATGGTAATATTATGAAAGTACACTTAAAAAAGATTATGCTAAATATGTTTGTGGTAGAGAAGGGCATGAAAAGGAGAAACTAGGGAAATTGAATTATTCAGTAAGAATGGTCTACCAATAAAAAATAAAAGCCAAGCAAAGAAAATGTCAGGCAATCAGTCATACCACATACTCTATGAACACTTAATAGATATTTGCTGGTTATAGCCAGGTGGGACACGTTTATGCTTCAGATAACACAGTTGGGTATTTGGTGCTGTTTTAATGTTGGTTATGTGTGTCTGTCCCCTAGGCTCCGAAACATTTACTACCTTTTTAATACTGTCCTCTTCCTCATCGTCTGGCGCCTTCTCATTGCAAGATCGCAGATGGCTCGGAATGTCTGGTTCTTCATCGTGAACTTGTGTTATAAATTCCTCTCCTACTTTAGGGCATCCAGCACACTCAAGGCCTGACAACATTCAGCGGTCACCTTTTATCTGGAATCTTTTAGATACCTCTCAAACAGCTAGCTGTGGTTCTCAAGATAAGGAAGGAATAAGGGATCTGCCCAGGTTCATTACCTGTCAAGTGTGCAGTCAGATAGTCACCCCTGTGTCTTAACTATACATGCTTTTATTTCAGTGAGAGAAGGAAAATCATCTCCTAGCCTGTAATCATAGATGTTTTAGAAAAAATAATAATTTTGATTATTTCCTAACACTCTGTTCTTGCACATAAAACACCAAATACTCCAAACTTCTTGTATGTAGTCTTTCTTTTCTCTGAAATAATTAATTCAACTCAGTATACATGGTAAAAGCTGGGGGAAAAATGCGAATGAAAGGTGGTATGAACCTTGCACCTGTTCTGGGATACCAAATAAAAAGGGTTAAAATCAAGACAAGTCAAGGAAGAATGGTCTCAACTTCCTCACAAATCCTGTAAGAGAAATAATTCCCTGCTGAAAGTCTTCCTTTCCTTTCTATATTTTACCTTAAGAATTCTGGTTTAGAGGTGGGAGAAGTAGAAAACTGGGTCTACCATTTTCCATTGTTCTCAACTGTAAAACAAACCTATTGCTATAGAGTTGACTCCCACTTCTGACAAACACATGTGCTTTACAGTAGACCTATACTCCAGGGCCTTGTCAGGCTGCAATATGACTGACACAGGCTAGCAGGACGTTCTTCCTGGTCACCACTTGGTAGATTCACACTGCCAACCTTTTGGTTCATAGCCTAGAACAAACTATTTGCATACTCAAGTTTAGAGAATAATTGTTTTGCTATTTGTTTTAAAAATATTTTGTTTATCCTCAACAAATTAAAAAAGCATTGCTTTTAGGGTTCCAGTTCATACATGCACAAGTTTATTCCAAACAACATGCTTTAACATGTTTCTTAAATTAGTGGATGGCTGCAGACAAGCTTTCTCAGTGATACACTTGTCTTCATCTCACTTAGGGTATATCCCAATAGAGGTCCAATCAAAACAGTGACTTCTGAGGGGATCTGCTGGGCCAGTTAGATTCAACGTACTGAGGCCAGTTCTGGTCATGACAACTGTTTTGGGGGGATTCTCGGGGTAATCTTGATAGATTTTTCTCAAAGGACACTGGATAATCACATTATGATTATGAACATATGAACAAGTTTTAAGAAAAAGTTGTGCTGAGGATTTTTTTCCCATCACAATGCACTTGCTTATTTCTAAGGAGTAGCAAAGACTGCCCTATGAGAATTCACTGGGAAACCTTCTCTCATCCATTCTCCAGTCCTGGAAGAGTTCGTGTCCTTCAGATTTCTTTTTGTCCCTAAAACTCAAAGAACATTCAAAGGAAAACAATGTGAGGTGTTCAAAATGTCAAAACTGACATTTGAACATGATACAAACTGAAGAGCTCAGAATTCTTAGGCAGAGAGATGGAAACACAGCCTTCAGAAGTATATAGACTACAATTGGCATAACCTAGTCTGCAAACACAATGGTGTACATCCTACTTTGGTGAGTAGCAACTGGGATCTTAAATCCACGAGCGGCCATCTAAGGTACAATGATCCGTCTCTGTATATGCAGAAGAAGGAGCTCTGGTTGCGTAGTGGTTACAAATCGGGCTGTGAACCACAAGGTCAGCAGTTAGAAACTACCAGCTGTCCCATGGGATAAAGATGGGGCTTTCTGCTCCCATAAAGATTTACAGCCTCGGAAACCCTGAACATGGTTGCTGTGAGTTGGAACCAACTCCACGGCACATAACCACCACTACCATATGCAGAAAAATGAACGATGAAAATTGAAGATGCTTGGAATCAATTAGTCCAGTGGACCAGTGGAGCACATAAACATCAGTCTCCATGACTCTGAGACCATGGTGCCTGACTACCACTACCAACTGTTCTGAAAGGGATTGCATTAGAAGATCCCAAATCGAGTGGGAGACAATGTAAAACAAAACTCAATATTATTAAAACTACCAGGCTTTATGGTCATAAAAGGAACTCTGGTGGCATAGTGGTTAAGAATCGAGCTGCTAATCTCACAGTCAGCAGTTCAAAACTACCAGCTGTTTCACAGGAGAAAGATGAGGCTTTCTGCTCCCGTAAAGATTTACAGCCTCGGAAACCCTGTACAGGGTCGTTATGAGTCGGTACCAACTCCATGGCACGTAACAACAATGGTCATAAAGAGACAAGAGAACCTGAGACTATGGCTCCTGACCACCTTTCAGGTCTGGAACGGAATTCACTCTCATAAACAATTTTCAACCAAGCAGTAGACAGGTTTATAGGGAGGACAACATTAGTGAGTTGTGCTCACCACGGGATGGTCAACCATTAAAGATCAAAGGGGCAACATTTTCCTAGGGACAAGGTTCAGAGGGGTTGGAAAGGAGGGTGGAATGGAAGTAGGAGCCGTAAAGATGAAGTGGGATAACTGTTGTTATAAGGGAGTAGATTGAAGTCATTGAGATAAAACAAAGTGCATTATTTGTTGGATTTAAAACAGATGATCTGCTGTATAAACCTTCACTCCACAATAAAACGTTCCCCCCAAAAAAGTATATGGACTAGATGGAGGATATGTCACAAAACAATAGCTTCACAGTTTGATATTTTTGCTTAATAAAGGTTATGACTTGTAGCAATACTTTTTGACTTACCCTTATATATTCTCAAACTAACATACCATTAATATAACTCATATAACAAATATCTCAACTCTACTCATATTTGACAGATGAGTTTGACATGCTGGGTTGCAGCATTTATTCATGTCGAAAACATACAGTATTATTCAAATATGATGTTTGGGCTTAAACTAGAAGGCACCAGTCACCATATCACTAGTAGAAACTTACACAGGTATAAAATGTTAACAAAGGATGGCAGTGCTTCATGCTCATTTTCTGGAATACTAGGAAACTGGTACTCAGAACAGCAGTTTCAGGTAGTGGAAGTGTCCAAGGTATCCAGGACAGTATGGAACCCAATGTTAATGAAGACTTTCCTGAGTTCCATAAAAGCCGGTTTGAAGGAACTCCTTTGGGCTCATCAATGTCTTTCCCAGTCTAAGTTCTGGGGACTACTTCCCAGAGGAGACACCACAACTCTGAAACAAAGCATCCAGTGATCTTTCGTTGAGATGGCTATCCAACATTTTGCATTACATCAGTACAAACAACTTCTGTTATTGTTTCTGACTCATGGGAGCCATATTAAAGGCATGAAATCAAGATATAATTTGATGGGATTGGGTTAAAACATAGTTTTAGCAACTATCTTTTTTGATTATTGTTTTAGCAATTCATTAGTAAGGTCAGTGGTTCGACCTCATCAGCTTGTTCCTCAGAAACCCTATACAGATTCGCTATGAATTGGAACTGACTTGACAGTACTAATAAAAATAACTGATTAAGTATTATTTTGATTTTTGATTAAATAAAACATTTTAATTGACTATTTTCCCTTTTTAGTGTTCTGTATTGTTCAATCTGCTGTCTACTGCAGCCAATTCCCTCCTGTCTATAACTATATTAAAAAATGCCTACTATAAAATTATTTTACATTAAGATCAATTAGCAATTATGTAAGTGCCTAATATGCACAAAACATGGGAAAGAACCTCCTACTTTTGGGGAGGAGATTGTAAGGATAAACAAAACGTATCTGTATGTTCAAAGAAATTTTGGTAATGCCTATGTCCACAGGACACTTGATACAGTATCAAACAGAGTCAGAGTCTGAGACAATACATACTTGAAAAAGTTGATGCAGATGGACACACAACTCAGAAAAAAAAACTCTCACAATTTTATCTGAGCACTATTATCTCCATTTACACTTCACTTACGGAACTGCTTTAGTATCTTAAGATAAAAAGATTTGTCCAGAGTGAAGGGACCACTACCCAAATAGTGTGGAATCTCACAATGACCATAAAAATGAAAGTAAATGCCAAGTCTATTTCAACTCATTCAAGTTGCTGTTAGTTGCCATTAAGTTGATTCAGGTACAGAACAGTGTGCTCAGAAGAGGCTAAAGTTTTCAAAAACATCAACAATTTCACAACTTTTATTTTTTTTAAAAAGTATGTTTTTCCACTTTAAAACATCTTTTCTAGAACTGCAATCCTAATTATATCTAGGAACATAAACAATTGCCTATATGGTTGTCGTTAAGTGCCGCAGAGTCGATTCCAACCCATAGCAACTCTATATAGTGTTTCCAAGGAGCAACTGGTAAGCTTGAACCACCAACCCTTGCAGTTTGAACGACATTGCAGTCCGACGCATTAGTCCACAGCCCCACACCAGGACTCCAATTGCCTCTATAAGAAAGTACTAATTGTTCCATATGCCCACATAAAACAAAACCAAACCACTGCCATCAAGCCAATTGTGACTGATGGCAATGCCATGTGTTACAGTGGAGAACAGCTCCAGAAGGTTAGACCTTAGACTTTCTTCTGAGGCAGTACTGGATAGATCCGAACTCCCAACCTTTAGTTTAGTAGCCAATTACAAACCGCTTGTGCATCTCAGTACTGCTATGTCCACGTACGTTGTTAGGTGCTGTTGAATTAATTCCAACTCACAGTGATCCTGTATATGGTTTCTGAGGCTGTAAATCTTTACTGGCACAGAAAGCCTCATCTTTCTCCATCAGAGTAGCTGGTGGGTTTGAACTTCTGCCCTTGTGGTTAACAGTGCTGGATTTATCCTACAGTACCACCAGTGATCTTTATATGTCCACATATAGGTATAGAAAATGACTTGTTTTAGGAAAAAAATGTATTAACAAAATAAAAGCTAACAATTTCTGGTTTGAAGGTATAGTTGGTTTGAGAGGAGTCCCTGCAGGTCCAGTTAACCTGATTGGCTGCTAACGGAAAGACTGGAGGTTAGGTTTTTTCCTGAGGTCCTTTAAAAGAGGCAGTGTACATCCCCAAATCAGCTATTCAACTCTGACAACCC